CTTATTGTTAGTTAAATGAGTCTCCATGTTTAATAGACAAAAGGAAACTTTTTCCTTCTTTCTCCCTTTCTTTCTCTCTTATGCTTTCTTCTCTTCAAGATGTAGTTTAGGTAGAAATGAGCTTCTCTGTTCTTATGTATTTCTTAATGAATCTTGAACTTCAAAATTAAGGGATGCATATTAGCATTGACTGATAGTTGGGTGAAGGCCATATTCTGCAAGCAAAATGTCTGCATTGTGAGTGTTTTATTCTTTTTAATGGGACATATCCAGTGCTCTTTCAGCACTCCACTTACATTCAGGTGCACATCCTCTGACTTCTGCTGAATTCAAATCTCCAGCCATATGGAAGTTTGAGGATTAAAATAAATCCCTTTAAATATCTTGCACATACTTTGGGTTGGATTGGGATTTATAAGGCCTATAAATGTCAATTTACCTCTTTACTAAACAGCTAAATAGCCAAGTCTTGTAGTATTTGGACTTCAGATATAAAGTTAAGATTTGCTTTTAACTATCCAAATTTCAGAATTGCATGTGTGCTCTCTCTCTCTCTCTCCCTCTCCCTCTCTTTCTCTATCACAACACACACACATTTTCTCTCTCTCTCCAAGTCAAAATAGTCTTCCATATTTTGTAAAACCCAGTAAGAGCTTTACATTTCTGCTCTTAAATTCTCTAATAATTTCAGCAAGAAAAGATACAGCTTGATTAGTTCCCCCCTTCCCCCAAAAACTCAGGTTGGAGTCCTACTGCTACTGACCTCTTTCTTCTTACAGAAATGTATTTTTCAGATCTTTCCTTCAGTTTTCCTATGTCACTTCCCTATGTCACCTTCTAAAAATAGGCATCTTAAACTACCAGGCTAATACCATCAAATCATGAAAAACTATTTCTGTAAGAGTCCTGTCACTATATTCATCTGTGAATAATGTTATTAATCCCTGCCTATACTGGATAATGTTTATAAGAAGTCAATGTTCCTTAAGTAAGTTGATAACAATCTAAATTATAGGTTTAAGGGGCAAGCAAAAATAAGAGGGCAGCACAGAAGTAAAGGGATTAAATAGGTATCAAGGAATTAGGAGTAGCACTTGAATTTTGACCAGTAGAACCTAGGCACTGCCAGTGTGGTGTAGCTGACATGTTGTTGGACTAATGGTAGGGAAATCCAAGGTCAAGTCCATCCTCAGTCACGGAGGCTCCCTGGATGACTTTGGATCACTTAGCTTAACCTATCTCAGAAGATTTTTATGGGGAAAAATAGGAGAAGGAAGCACTACATATGCCGCCTTGAGCTCCTGAACAAAAGGCAAGATGATGTTAATGATGCTGTTGTTTGTTTGAGTGTACTATAGCCTCCTAACTCAAATGGACTTTGGGTGGTGTACAATACCAAAAAACAAACAACCCCCCCCCAAAAAAACTGATAAAGCCTAAAACCACATAGAAAGCCCAGACCAAAATTATCTAAAAGATCAAACAAAACAAAACACGCCCCCCCCCACACACACACAAATACAACAATACATTAATCCCAGGTCTAGGACCAAAACCAGGTTCTAAGAGCTTTCTGGACCCCTAGGAGAGATGGTGCTGTCCTTATCACTGGGGGGATGCTATTCCACAAGATGGGGGCCATGACAGAGAAGGCATGAGAGAAGATGTAAATCTAACAACTAAATTAATAAACCCTCTTCAAATGTACTTCTCACCTTGATTTTTACCCTTCGAGGACCATGCTCTGCAGCCTAATATCTCATCTCCAAAGAGAAGGAAACTCATATTCCAAATTGCTGTTAAAGAAACAGATAAAGGTAACTTATTTGGAGATTGGACAATCCCCTCCCATGACAGATTATAAAATAAGGGCATTTCCCTCCCTACAATTTTCCCACTTTAATTACTTGTGCCAATCATTCTGAAGCCAGTGACGATTGCTCCTGCTTTCAACGTATTTGTTTTTAAATCATCCAGACTAAACACATAAACCATCAACTTTACTGTAGGATAAAAATGAAGTGATTAGGCATTGTTGCAAAAAATGGGCATTGTTATACATACTTCAGTTGGAGATGAGGGGTGAGACTTTGTGGAACTGGCACGATTTGTGTTGGAACATCTAACAATGGATACAGAGGGAAAATTATCAGTTAAGTTGTATTGCATTTTGTTAAGCTATATGCATTTGCACCTTTCTTTTCAACCAAGCTGGGCACTTCATCAATATTATTATTATTATTATTATTATTATTATTATTATTATTATTATTATTTGGATTTCTCCCCCGCCCATCTCCCCCACAATAGGGGACTCTGGGCGGCTAGCTGTAACTGAAATAGCCACATAGTGGCTAGCTGTAACTAAAATCAGTTACAAACATACCACTGCTGATGCTTTCCTGTAATTTTAATATATATTCTATTATTCTACTTGCCAAAATATGAAGAAAAAGAAGAATGTTTTTTAGAATGCATCATCATATGTGTGTAAACTCGCAGACTTCTTTGCCACATTCCAAGTTTGATATTCCCAAAATTCTTAAGAGATCAACCATTTCCTACTTTTTGGTAAATAATTTAACATTACATTCCTATCTTTAGACATAAATTCTCTTTTCAGTACCAAATTGATAAAAAAGCAAATATTGAACCAAAATGGAACAATGTATAGCAGTAGTGGTAATGGTAGTAGTAATAGATGGAACCAACTTATTTGAACAAAAGAAAGATGAGATCTCTCTAATGCTCCATGAAGAACAGATTTCCAGGCCTCTCTTAATGACCTGTAACTTAGACCAAGCAGATCTAATTTTTAAATTATTTTAGATTAAATTTTTAGTGGCTGAGTGAGTGGCCTCCATGGCCTCATTTTACTTCATCTTTGTTTTTTAAACTAACAATGTCAGGGAATTTTGCAAGCAAAACTGTTGTCCTCTCACTGAGTTATGGGTCATCCCCCTTACTTTCATCTGATTCATAAAAGAACAGAATCCATCAGTGTGTGTTCTAGTTAATAAGAGCACTAAGATAGAAAAGTTGGTAAAAGTATTTAGATCACTGATGGAATTGATATGGAGGAGGAAGGATCACGGTTAGACTGAATTACAATGGGAAACATGTGTCAATAGAAATAACGGGGAAAGGTAATGATAATGTTATCCTCATACGAATGCAGATATCTAATAGTAAAGGTGGTACTATGAAGATTTCAGCCCTAGCATTTACAACACTGCAGACCTCAATTCTGTGAAGGATACCATGTGGTGGAGAAATCTGTATGCCGTACGTGTCAACTCTTAGTCTCCAACAGCAGGACTGGAAATGATACCTATCTGAAATGCTGTCATTTAGTTTAGATGGATCAATTGTCTGACCTGGCACAAGACAGCTTCCTGTGAAACAATGGGGAATATTCATTTGTACTGTGAAATGAAATAATCAGGCAAACAGTGAAAGCTTCAAATATTATTTCAATGTAGTAGTACCCCTAGTAATCCAGAAAATACATTTTTACTCATAACACATTGTATATTATATGTGTCTGTATTTGTATGTGTGTGTGTATATACCCCAACAAGAACTTATTATACTTAGTTTTAGAAACAAGGAGAGGTCAATTTTCTGTCAAGAAGATTATTAGTGGTCTGCCTCAAAACACTGTTTGGAAGACGAACATAAGAAACAACTTGCATATTTTGTATCCCATGTAAACAAATAATTATATTAATTTAATGGATTTATTTTTCTACTTTATATTTCCTTTCCAACTGAAATTAGCCAGAATACATTTATTTTGAAAGGTATTGATTTTTTAAATTTCATATTTCATTTAAAAATGTGCTGTTGTTTAGCATAGGAGGCAAGAAGGGAAGGAAGAGAAATCTGTACAAACACTAATTTTGAAAACTTTCTTCTGCACAAAAGAAGAAACAATAAAAACCATTTTAATTAAACCATTGACAGAAGAACAAAACAATAAAAACATTAAAAGTGTGCCATAAAGCTATGCAAGAATTAAAATATAATTCTTTTTTAAAGGGGGTTGAACCCATTGTATACTCTTCAGATGATAAGAAAACAGGCCATGGTTTAAGTTGTCTTTTAAAACTAAATTTTATGGCAGCCACCTTACTTCCACCAAGTCAGTGTTTCTCAACCTTGTCAACTTTAAGAGTGTGCACTGCAACTCTCAGAATTCCCCAGACAGCATGCTGGCTGAGGAATTCTGGGAGTTGAAGTCTACACATCTTAAAATTGACAAGGTTGAGAAACACTGCTCCAGGTCATCACCACCAAGAAGGTCCTACTCTGAGTCAGCATACTGTGAGACATGCCCATAGTTGGGATCATAAGCAACATCTCCCCAAAACAGGAACTGGACAGAATTAGGGGATTGGGGCTTTTTAAATACTTGGGTCATAAGTTGTTTAGAGTTGTATAGTCTGATGTCAATGCCCTGCTTCATAATATGTTTTCAACAAGGAGCCAATGGCACAGATTTCCCAATAGAGCCAGTACTGCAAACATTTGTATATTTCATTAGTTAAGTTGCAGTATCCTTTTTACAACACCCAAGAGCTTTATCCAGGATACAGGTTAGATGCAGTGCTTCCTCACCTCTCCTTGTATCTCTTTCAACTATACACAGAATGACTTTTACCAGGGAAGAAATCAATAAGCAGGAAATTGTAAAAACGAATAAAAGAGCTATTAGATACCTGTTACAAATGGGTATATAACCTAATGGCTTTTTGCGGACACATGTCTGCATCCTCTAAGAAACAATAAAAAGGTAACATAGACTATGTCTATTTAGTAGCTGAAATTAGCCAGAATATATTCATTTGGAAAGGAATTGATTTTTTTTTTCTTTCACATTTCAAGGTATAGAAAAAGTGCTGTTTTTTAGCCTAAGAAAAAAGGAAAGCAACTCTGTGTGGACACTGATATTGAAAATATTCTCCTCATGAATCAAAATTGCTGTCTTATGTTAACAGATCTGGGGAATTTCAGTGGACGAACAAGAAGTGCCGTCTCCGTGAGAGAAGGTCAAGGTGTGGTACTAATGTGCTCTCCTCCACTTCACTCCCCAGGTAAGGTTTGCTGCATTCTATATTGATAGCAACTCTGTGAACTCATACTTTTCAGCCATGATCCTGATGGTGGATCAGTAAAGGCTTTGGTTCCCAAGCTATCAAAGAAGTAATTAAAGTTTGTGTCTTGTAAAAGCTTCTGAACAGGGAGTTAGCATTTCTGAAGTCAGGCTAAACTAATCCATTTTGCTCAGTGAATGGGCACAGCAGTAGCAGACAGAAGACACGAATCATCCAAGGACTTTCTCTCACCCCACCACAGCTCAGAGCTATTCTAAATGTCACCGCTGAGAGAGACCTTGTTGAATGTCATATAAAATCATTCATTTTCTCTCATTCAGATACGAGTTAGGTCATGGGCCCCTTTCATAATCAAATTATGACAGTAACTACTTTGTTGTTGTTAGAAGTAGCCTCAACTGAAATCCATTCGAATAACCTTCCACCAAGCCCTATGTGGATGTTACTGCCTTATGAGTTCAAACAAGTGTGGAGAAGGATGGGGCTTATGCCTCAGCCTCTCATGCATCACACATAAAAAAACCAATAGAGCTTTCACACCATCAGGGCTGCCATCTTGACTTTTTTTATCACACCATGTGGACACTCCTGCCTTTCAGCCAGCTCTACCATGGACTTTTCACATTGAACTGGAAGATCTGAAGGAAGATTCTAAATATCCATGATGACCTCAGGCACTCTCTGGAGGTGAAGCAAAGCATCAAAATCACATTCTGCATGGTGTGTTAGATGACATAGTTCTCTAATTAGGTAGAATCTATTCTGATTCAGTGAGAAGGAGAAACCTTGCTTATATTTACATATTCTTCAATAGTCCTGGAATGTTTGTTTAATTTGTTATGGTCTTGTGTAGACAGCTTCTGGGCCCATTGGACTTTGTATACTGAGGGATTCTGGGGGTATCTGTGCAACTGTTGCTGTTTTTAATTGTTAATGATCCAAGGCAGCCTTAGTAGAATGGCTGTCTGCTAAATAGCCTGAGAGAAGTCTTATTGTCTTGATTACTGTGAGTGGCATAAAAGATAGCTTAATTTTGTACCTCTACAGTCATTACTATTAGTGCCAAAGAATTATGCAAATTATAATTTGGTAAGGTTGCATTTAAAAACATTTAAAGCTTCTCTTCCTATAGTTGCAATTCCCAGATTTCCTGGGAAAAGGAAATTAGTCCAATTTAAATCTCTTCCTTGGGTACAGAAATGGACAGTTTTAAGAACATGTTACTGTGTTCATCTATAGGGCAACTTTTTGGTCTGTCATTTTGTTTTTACAGAAATTTAAAGTCTATTTAAAAGTCCACAACTATGAACAATTCTGCTATTATTATTGTAATATTTCAAAGGAGAATATAATTATTCTGATGAGTCCAAAGGAGTGTACAAAAATAATAAAAACAATTTTAATCCTAACCTCATAAGCAGGGTCTTGCCCTTCCTTCCTTCCTAGGGCTGAGAAGAGTGACTGGCCCAAGATCACCCAGCTAGCTTTGTGTCTAAGGTGGGATAGAAGTTACAGTATATGGAATCCTTGGTGCTCTCTGAGCTAGGTGGTTTTCCTGCAGACGTTTCATTACCCAGCTAGGTAACATTATCAGTGCTAGAAGGGAGTGGGGTTCGCTCTCTGTTTATATACAGTAGCTTGCACTGCCAGTATTGGTGGGGGTGTGGTTTTCTCCTTAGTAGTTTCTTGATTAGGGAATAATTTTTCTGCTTGATTGTTTGTCTGGTGTTAATCCCTGCTTATCTGGGTATTGGCTCTATGATGCAATTTTTAGATGTAACAGATGTACAGATGTTAAATGAAAGCTTTTATTTCCATGTTCTGAAGTATAGATCTGGTTTTCACTGCAGTTGAAATCAGTGCTATAAAACTCTTAGTCTCCTGAGTGCAGCACATTTTACTTCGCAACACATAAATGTGTTAAATAGGTTTTTTTGTATTGAGAACAAAAATAGGTAACTTTTTTCCACATAAAGCAATGACTCCACTTACTGTTTGTTACTCTGTTTCTTATAATGAAAGTTTCACTGATTTATCTGATATAAGACAGGCCCATTGTATTATTGCAGTTGGACTACTGAAGGGAATTATCATCACATTATAATAATTCCTTGGGTGGCTGAGATTATCACACCTCTCACGTGTGTCATTTTATAGAAAAAGGTGTAGTCTGCGTATTTCATCCTACAAGTGGTACACCTTGTCATTCAAACACACCATAAAGCCAGATTAATACAGTGTAAATAAGTTTGCAACTAAGATAGGACTGGAAATAAATGGCATATGTTAAAACTGAGAGCCAATGAAATAGACATCTTGTTTAATACACCAACCCATTCACCAATTTGTTTCCTTCATGATGCAAAGTAGAGGAGGGATCGCCTTTCCATCTCTATGCTGCTACTGTTATATACAAAAAAGGGCAAATAATGGAATAACAAAAGGTCACTCCCTTTGGAATTACCCGTGCAAAACCCACAGCATTGTTTCCAATAGCTGAAAAGTTCTGTATCTTTTGAGACAGATACAGATAATATAGACTGTTGTTATGTCCTCTGCTCCTTTTATCTCTTGCATGTTGTTTATCTCTCTCTCCTTATTTGCCTGCTTTTTTATCCCACTTTGCCAGTTAACTTTTTGATGTTTGCTGGTGTTTAATAAATAAACATCAAGCTCTATTTTTTGATAGCTGAACTGAGTGGTGTGCGTGCTTGCTCTGATCTGGATATAGGGACTGACTGGTCTGGAAGTGTGCTTGGTGCAAACTAAATTGGAAATTACTGGCAGTCATTTACAGGTAGTCCTCGCTTAATGACCATTCGTTTTGTGACTGTTTGAAGTTACAACAGTGCTAAAAAAAGCTACTTATGACCAGTCTTTGTGTTTATAACTGTCACAGCACCCCTATGGTCATGTGATTGCGATCTGGGCATTTGGCCACCAGCTCACACTTCCAACGGTTGCTGTATCCTGGAGTCATGTAAATTGCCATTCGTGACCTTTCCAGCCAGCTTCTGGCAAGCAAAATCAATGAGGAACTGAGTGATTCACTTAACAACCACATGATTCATTTAACAACTGTGGTGATTCACTTAGCGATCGCCACAAAAAATGCTAAATCAGGTGCAGTCATGTGATGCCTCATTTAATGACGAACCCACTTAATGACAATTTTTTTGGTCCCTATTGTGGTCGTTAAGCAAGGACTACCTGTACCAACATATTCCTCATCCAGTGTAAGAGCCCTGAGAAAAGAGGCCAAAAGCGTTGATCATTTTAATGAAGTTTTTATTTGTTATAGCCCTAGTTTTCCCTGATATGATAAACCTCTATCTTAGTTGTACCACTTTTGATTGCAAGTTCAGCTTTATATGATTAAAAATGCTGAGTACATACAAAACCTGGGAGATAGAGTAGTTTTTCTCTATTATGTATTATTTATGTCAGGAGTTGGCAACCTCTCTGGGCCACTGAGCACATTTGCACTGAGGATATTATAAGAACTCTCTCAAAATGCCACAAGAGGAGAGGGCTGTCTCTTAAAAGAAATGTTAGCCAGAAGCAAATGGTTTACATTACTTCTTACTATATAAAGCTTTTCTAATAAAGATGCTGCTAGAGAAACTGGTACTTTGCTTTGTAGCATGATAGCTTCTTTCTCTCCCTCTCCCCCTACCCAACTAGGAATATAAAAAAAAAATAACTCAAGTGAGTCAAGAAACCCCATGGCTTTTTGATGTATGTATTTATTTTAGTATGGAGAATCATTCAGAATGAGAATATCTGTAGCTCAGGGTTGAACTGTGGAGTCCTTGGGGTTCTCTGGGCTTAGTTGTTTTCTTGCAAACGTTTCATTACCCAACTAGGTAACTTCTTCAGTGATACAAGGGAGTGAGGTTTGCTGTCCATTTACATACTGTAGTTTGCCCAAGCGGGTTGGTCATTAAATGAGGCATCACATGACGGCACCGGTTGCAGTATCCTGCGGTATATTTTACATTTACCGTAGTGTTGGTGGGGGGGTTGTTTTTTCCTTGATAGTTCCTAGTTTAGGCTGTTGTTTACTGCTTGATTGTTTCCTTTTTATTGTCTCTTTTGAATAGTGTGTAAATGTTGTTTATCTCTATGTGTCTGTTGATAGCTGACTTGTCTGAATACCAAGCTTCCAGGAATTCCCTCTTGTTTTTGGATTTAGCTTAGTCTAAGATGCCAATAGTTTTCCAGTAGAAATTATGGTTAAGTCTGTCCATGTGTTGTGAGATTAAGGAGTTTTCATTGTGTCTTCTGACTGC